GTGTGTGTGTGTGTGTGTGTGTGTGTGTGTGTGTGTGTGTGTGTGTGGTTATGTGAAAGTGTGTATAATAGTTCCTGACATCAGCAGTAGGTGTGTGGTGCTGACTCCCAGGATTTTATGTGTGTTGGGCCCGCATCCATGGCTCCTCACCTAAGACTGGTCTGGGAACCAGGTGTGTGTGTGTGTGTGTGTGTGTGTGCGTGTGTGTGTGTGTGTAAAAGGAGGGTTACTTGTGAAAAGGATGTGTATGAAGCACATCTGTTCAAATCAAGTAAAATCAATTTCATTTTAGAAGTAATCAGATTTGTTACTTAAGTACCAATAACCCAACGTCAAAATCCTCCATCGCAAGTAAAGGTTAATGAGCTGGAGACCAGAGGCTGACTTCTTAATCCGATAGGTTGTTGAGAGTATGAATGGGCCGTGCTACAGTAATCCACATTGTGTTGTTAGGATAGGCTTGGTTACATAATCGCCCTAAGAACCCCCAGATGGTCACATGCCAGAAGACAACATGGCCTGATGATTGGACAGCGGGAAACAATGACATGTGCTGGCCATAATCAGGCTAAACGTCAGTCACATTACAATTCCATTACAGTCCTTAATAGTGCTTTTAAATAATCAACTCTTATCAGGGTTGTGGTCAGTTCGAGGCAGCAAAGCTGCTGTGAATGGCAAATAAATCTGTCCACTAGAGGGCAGTCCAGCCAAGGTGTTAGGCTGTAAACCAGCCGTAAGAGCCTGCAAGTCCACCTTGTTTCTCCGTGCATTGAGTCTCAAATACTCATAAAATGATTCCAAATTAGCCTGCCTGAATGCCTTCCTGTGCATACATACGTGTCCCAGCACTGACAGAACTTCCTCCCCAGTGGGAAAGCAGGATGTCCAGATAAGTGAAAACCATTTAAAGAGCATTGACCCTCCGAGGATAGCAGCAGCAAGTCTCAGTGACATTTCTATGGTTACGTTGCTTTAAGCTTCTCTCAGAGGCTTTCTTGGGCTTCTGCTGTGTGTGTGTGTGTGACCTCTGATCCCTGTACAGTGCGCAACGGATCAATACAATGAAACTGATCCTATTCCAATCTGTCACTTAATCCATCATTCTATGTACCATTTCCCTCCCATCCATCTATTTAGAGACGCGGAACTGTACAAAGCTCCTCCATTTCTATATCATATTTCTCTCATGTTCTTCATCTTATTGTTCTTCTCCACTTTCTTCCTTTCTCTCTTTCTCCACTTTTACTTCCCCATGCCCCTCCACTCCTTTTGTAAACCACTGAAGTGTCTGAGAGGTACTGTGCCACTGCGGCGAGACAATGGTGTTTGCACACAGTGTCAATAGTCTTTCCCTCTGTCTCAGTAATTGATGGATGACTGTGAGTCAGGCATAAACTAAGCAGATTACACTCACTAGATCTGAGGACTGATGCTAATATGTGTGTGTGTGTGTGTGTGTGTGTGTGTGTGTGTGTGTGTGTGTGTGGTGGGGGTTGGAGTTGCAGAGTGACTGTCCAGTTTTGGAAGTCAATCCGACAGCTGTCCCTGGAGGCTGAGATTTGATGGCCGTGAGTTTAGAGATGAGGAGAAAAGGGTGAAAACACACGCACACACACACACACACACGTGCAAAGGGTGTCTGCTTCACTTGTACTTTTGCTTTTGGTCAGAGAGAACGTGATGCATCTGGTGTGTGTGGGTCAATAGCTGGCAGCTGGGCGCTCTGTTACAGGCAGCGTCCCTCCGGAGCAGCTACTGAGCTCCTGTCTTCGGTTCAGCAGTGTAAAAATATTTTTGACGTTTAACTGCAGCCATGCATGTTCAATTTAATTTGCTGCATTGAGATTGTTTCCATTTCTTGTTATTACTAGATTTTGTTATGGTTCATGTTTTTGTCCTCAGTTTCCTTGACATTTGTCTTCTGCGGTTTTGTCATTTGGGTTGACATGTTTTTTTACAAGCCCCATAGGTCTTTATTTCATCTGGACTTTACAAGCTTCCCTTTTATCCCCTTTTATTTGGTTACGAAATACACTTTTGACTTTCAGCAGGGGGTTTCAATTGGTTTCAGTAACTCTTAAACTCCTTTTTATCGCCACTGATTTTCAAGGCCAATACAAATATATAAAACTGCAGTGACACGAGGGGACAGTTGGGACAGTGCCTTTCTTTAGCAGGTTACAGAGCATATATGCCCATTCACCATGCTCATACTCAGCCACACCCTCTTCACATTCAACCTCAAAGTTGAGACCTTCTGACTATTCCTCACAGTTTTTAAATCTGCAGTGTGAAAGTCCATTTGTGCTTTTCCTCATGAAATAAGATCCATTGTGAAGTCACTAAGTGAAGGTTTACTCTAAAAGATCTTTATATAAATTGTTAGCAGACACCTGTATCTGTTCAGGGGTCAAATTATTTCCAGTGGTTTGTGAGTAATGGAAGGTTATTTCTCGGAGTTTCGAAGGTGTCCCAATAACCTCGCTCTCCCTACAGCAGAGCTTGTTTACTCATCCTGGCATGATGATGGCGCTAGATGAAAGTTTTAGGAATCACATTTATTATTACATTTAACTCTGGACTGAAATGGTGAACCCAACCAACTGATAGACTGACTAGCCGCTAGCATGGCTAAAAATGTGATGGATTATTTGACATCATAGTCGTCACGTGCAGCCCCTGATCTGAATTTATCCTGAACCTCTTTTGTTGATAGCGGTTCAATCGACCGATTTAGGTTCAATGAGTTCTGCTTCTTTTCAGACTGTAACCTTTTTATTTACTTTAGATCACACAACATGAACCTTTGACATAGAAGCAACAAAAAAGCTTTTGTACAGTGGCACACAGTAATGAGTCAATTATCAGAAGAACAAACTACTCGGGTGCGTCGGGTCTTTCAAGTGGTTCGCTTGACGCCACTCTGGCTTTACTCAAGTGTGCCTTAAATATTGTTGTGGTGCGTCTGAAGGCCATTGAGCTGGTGCCAAAGAAAATATCAACCATTGATAACAATTATTAATCTCGAGTTTTGATTTCAACTTGAATATCTGAAAAAGACTCCCCAGCTTTTTTTGAGCAAATAAAGAACCCATTGACGGCAGCTGCCAAACTAAAAGCCAGCGAGAGATAAGAGCCACTTGGCTTTAGCGTCAACATTTGGTTTCCTAAATGGTTTATAAAAGATAATTTCTCAGTGTAGATAATGGTTTGTGATGCATTAACTTTAGGAGATTTGATACGATAGTAGCACTCAGTGTCTGGCTTTTTGCATTTTATGGTTGAGATAAAATTATGTACCATTAGAAAAACACACTCTCTTTATCTTTCATGGCTTTTTATTCGTGCTCTCTCCTTTGTGTTCCCTGTGTGCTCGCGTTTCATTTGTTTACATGTGTTGCATGTCGGTGTATGTGGCTGCTGTATTGCTCTTTGGCGAGCTGTTTCATGTGGTGCGTAATGAGATAAGGCCCCACTCCTTGCAGTCTGCTGTCTGGGCCTTTATCTGCACAGCAGATTAGCGCAGGTGACTTCATTCCTGTGGAGGTTGGTCAGGTGAGGGTCAGCTCAAAGCACGAGCCCGACGTCATCTCGACGAGAGGGGAAGAGACAGGCCGAGACTGACATGAAAAGAGCAGGAAGTCTGAGGTTTACGTGTACCAAACTCCCTTTGGCATTTGTGCATTTTTGATGCTCAAACTGTCATCATTTGGGAAATGTATGACTATTGTTCTTCCATCACCGTATGTTAAAGTTTGTGTAAGTTGTACGTTTTTTTTATAAGTGAGGAAGTTAATTCACAAAATTTGAACCTCTATCGGACTCTTATGTTCTGTTAGTTTAAAACATACAAAATATAGTCCAGTGCCTGTACACTGATGAATACTTCATTGCTGTACCAAGCTGATGCAGAAACAACTGGAACATTGTGGAAGGGGCATATTTTAAGCACTCTACTGTATACTGTAATATCACTCATTTATTCAAGCATCCACACTGAGGCTGTGCTGGGACTTCACCATCATCATTTGAATTTGACCCATGACTTCTCAACAAGGCTGAGCAGTGTATCCGTGTGTGTCCTCACACAGACAAACACTCCCCAAAGCTTGTTTTCTGCACATACAGGGATTTTTGTTGGCATGGACTCTGACCGATCCCCTATGCGTCTGTCTTTTAAGTGGATTAGGATGTAGTGACAACAGGTTGACTCCTCTAACACCGGGCTTCTTACTGTAACTTCACTCTCATTGGAGGATAGTTTAAACAATTTAAAAAAATACACAAAACTAACAGAGATAAATAATATCACAGCGCAGGAAGAGCCAGAAAGCCCACATAATATTGTTGACAAGGTATTTTTTACAAGATAGGATATATAATAACAACAAAACTATACATTATTAACAACAAAAAAGAAAGAAAATGTGATTGTGTCGAGATGTGTTTTTGTGTGTGTGTGTGTGTGTGTATGAGAGTAAGTGTGGGCTTGTGTGTGTTAAGGGGATATTGGTTTATACACCATATTGTTATTATTAAAGGTTGAATCTTATATGTACTGAATTTTCGCCGCATCCAATCAGGTTGAACATAAGGCAAGGAAGGACAATCTGAAAACTTTTCACAGTCAAAATTCAAAGTAAATTTGTATATTTAGTTCTGTTTTTTTTTTTTTGTTTGTTTCTGTCGACCACACTGCATCTTGCTGCACCTGTTAACCCTCTTCCCATGCCAAGCACTACTTACTGTGTTTCTTATTTTGCGTGCACGTGTGTGATGTCAGTGAAAGGCCGAAAGCACGACATCAGGCACGTAGCCAAAGCTGATTAAAGCAGATAAAAGTATGAGCAGTAAGTCAGTTAAGGCTTGGTTACAAACGGTGCGTATGTGTGGTGGTCCATATGTTTATTATCAAAAGCTCTTTCTTCGGGTCTGAGTACAACTAATGAGAATGTTCGTGGTAATGCTTGTTTTTTCCAACCAATAATGCAAAACTCAAATATGTTTAATTAACAATAATATATTTTTCATTGGTAAATGCCTATAACTGATGTTTCAAGTGGATATATCTACTGTGGATCTATTAATATGTTACTCAACTTAGCATTGGCTGCATTAGATTGGATAAATTGATTAAGACCATACAACTGTGGAGATGTATGTGGCAGTATATTTTATTCATACACACATAGATACAGATCATTTAGTTAGAGCCCTTATTTTGTTTCCCAGCTACTATAATAAAAACAATAACCGCTGCTATTAATGTGAGAATTCACCTTCTACATTCCCATATAAAGTTATTTCTTAGAGCTAAGCCCCAAAACATCCTCTGTTGTCACATCCACCTGCCCCAGCGAGAGGCCGCCTCTCATTGGCTCAGAGGACAGCCAATCAACTGGCAGCTCAGCCTTCAGAGGGAAGGCCATTCAAATGCTGTGGCTCATGAGGGCCAGCTCTGCTTGGAGACCCTTGTCACACACACAGCCAGCTAGTCACAACAGTCAGGACTTCAAAAGCAGCCAGTGGCCAAGTGCGAGTGACAGGGAGACGAGAGGAGCTGAGGGTGTTATACCACAGACGAGAGGACAGCAGATGGAGACAAAGTTCGGGGGCAGAGTAAAGAGAAAGGGACAAGCACTGCGGTGACAGCCACAGTTTATGAAATCTGCAGAGGAGAGACCAAAGATAAAGAGAAGGAGAGAAAACAGACAAGCACTTTTCTCATCTTCAGAGCATGGTGGCAGAGTTCACATGGATTTAGTCGACCTCTACCTCCCAGAGTGTTTCACCTACCACTCTGGCACAGAGTAAGTACTTTCACCTTTCAAAACGACTCTACTCAGCAAGAAGTGTGTGTACTCTCATAGTGTCACACAGGTTGAGTGTGAAAGTTAGGTGACTGACTGCTTCCTTATGATGTCTTGACTGAGATCAAATATTATTTCATGTTTGATTTGTGGGACATTGTGTATGTGTGTGTGTGTGTGTGTGTGTGTGTGTGTGTGTTTATGACGTATATGTGTCTGCTTGTGCTGCACCGGTATTCTACAGTGCACGCTTTTGATTTTCCAGGTGATTTAAATACTTTAGAGAGTCAGTTTGCTGACTCTTTGTGTCTTGTAGAGGAATGCCACAACGTTTAAAAGCATCCTTGTGTTTGCGATTTGTCTTTGTTTGAATTAAGCCGGTGTAAATATTTGCCAGTAATGACCAGTTTAAGGCTTGCAGTTTTTCCTTAATCTTGCAGCATTTAATAAGCTGGTTATTCCTTATGGATTACTGAATTCCTCCTGTAGTCTATAAAACATCAGAAAAGAGTAATTAACGCTCCTCCAGCTTTCTAAAGCCCAAGACGACGTCTAAAAATGGCTCGTTTTGTTTTGTTTACCAGAAAAGATTTCACAATTCCATATATGGAAGTAGAGAATGTTATATTTGCTTAAAAATGTCTCAAACTATTAATCAATGATCGAAATATTTTTGATAATTTTCTGTTGATTGACTAATCCTTTCAGCTCTATTGAGGTATAATAGGAAACGTTTTATGGAAATAAAAATGTAACATAAAGTTTCTTTCTTTGTGCTTTGGGGACATTTGGATGAACATTTCTCTGGTGTGGAGGCTTGTTTGCATTGCTTACAGTTGACATTGTTCAGACTGTTTGTACAGGGTGAGTGGGTAAGACTTCATCTAAAGAAAACCTTCCCGACATACACAAAGCAAACAAACGCCTGCGAAGCAGCTGTTTGATTACCCCGGGACATCTTTTTGATTGCCATCCTTTTCTGTAATCATAAAAAAAAAAAAAAATCATCTTCATTATCGTCACTGCTGCGCTTTTATCAGCTGTGGCATAATCACACATCTCATCAAGCATTTTGGGGCTTGAAAGTAACAAACGCCTATAGCAGGGAAAGATGGGGACAGCGAGGCAGAAGACGAGCAGACGTGGGGACGTACAGGTCGGCTGATCGCTGGTGACAGAATCGACCGGATAAAGAATAGGGGAAAAGGCAGTGATGGGCATGAGATGATCCCCTGTATGGCACGCTATCCATGTTTCCAGAGCCTGCGGGTCCAAAGCTCCAGCAGCAGGCACCTCATCTCCCTGCTAACAGCTTCGTCCAAAGCCTGACTAAGGCTCTTACGGATGGCCTGGGGTGCCACTGATCCCTGCTCATCTCCTACTGGCTCATTAGTAAAAAAAACAACTAAAAAAAAAAGAACCACTACTGACCTAAATAACTGCTCCTCGGGGTTGGGGTTAGGGCTAAAAGGTTAGTCAGTAGTTGTGTTTTTTTTGCATTTTATTTCCACTTCCCCAAGGCCTGTAGATCTGCTTTTACTTTTCTTTATATCTCTTTGTCACTTCCTTCTTGTTTTCTGTATTTCCTTCCCTCCTTGTTTTCTTCTCCCTCTCCCTCCCTCCTTCATCCGTCGGGTCATTGTCTGCATTATGACTCCGCTCATTTGGAAGTGAGTGTTGCCTTCTCCCTTTTCTTTCAACACCCCCAGGTTAATGAGCCACAGGACTGCCCCCTTCTCTTTCTGTCCCTTCCCTGGCTTTTTCACACTCCCTCTATCTGTCTGCCGCTCTTGTAATTTCCTCCCGCCTCTCTTCTTCTTCTCTCTTTCTGTCTCCTCGTCGTTTCACGCTGAATTTTGGCCTTTGTTGCCAAGGTGCAATTAGAGTTGTTTTGAATTCTGGGACACAAAGGGGTAAGGTACGATAACTTTGAATACCCAATGACACATACACACACGCACACGCACACACATAATAACCTATTGACACACACACACAAAAACCCACCCTCTCTGATTTATCCCCGCTGCATGCCGCTGCAGGAGCTGCACCAACAGTCTTTTGATGGGCTTTTATGTGGAGTTGTAGATTAGTAATCTGTCAGAGTGAATATTACATCACATCTGATCACCCCACACTAATGCCATTTCATTATGAAAGCAAAACACCCCCCCCCCCCCACCCCTCTCCTCCTCCTCGTCTTCCTCCCCGTGATGCATTATAATAGGAGAGCACAAAGTATATCTCACTCTGTATCTGTCAGAGACTTGACACAGCAATATGGACGCCTGTGATGGATAGCCAATAAGTAAACCAGTGAGTCTGAAATCTCCTCGCCGTACTGTTTTTATAGTCTTCAAAGTGGATTGGAGAGGTGAAAGTTGGGAGGGGGGGGGGGAGGGGGGTTAATATGTTGTGTTAATTGGTGGGTTTAAGACTCAGCTCAAGGCTTAAGAGTCTGGTATTGTTGGGAATTTTTCAAAACTAGGCGCTGATACGATACCTGAAATTCAGTAAATGATGACAAAATGATTTGTTTTGGCTACTTTATCTTAAGGAATGTTGTTCTACAAAACCAAATGTTTAAAGCTTTTTAAACTCTGTGTAAAAAAACAAAACAGTGAATTAACACCACCTCAACCCTCCGTAGTTGTTTTGGTTTTACGGTCCACAACTTCACTGTTGTGATTCACTCCCTGCTCTCAGGTTGCTGCCGTAGAGGGCAGCAGATTTCAGGTAAAAAGTGACAAACATGAGCAACTAGCTAGTTGACATAACGCAGCATTTAGCAGCTAAAGAGACAGGTATTATGCAAATGTTTGCTAGCATGTTCGCCATGATGTGAAAACATGACAATTGTTGCACTGCCCTTAAGTGATGAAAAAATAAATTGATGACAATTATTAAGACAGCAGGTGCTGATTGCGTTGCTGTAGTTTGTTTCCTTATAGAGAAGTCTGCTGTTGGCTATGTTGCTATCTTGCTGTCGGTCTGTCTCTTGCTGTGCGTCTGTGCGTCGGTCTTTGTGGCTTTGTAGAGGGGTCAATAGCGCGTGCCCGTGGTTTACTCTGGAGGTGGTTAAAAGCAGCCAGTCTTTTTGCCTACCAAATGACTTGTGGCTGAGCAAACGTTGATTTACATGGCAGGAAACAGACTGAATTGGGCATCCAAAGCCAAGATTAGAGTGGGAGATACTGTGTGTGTGTGTGTGTGTGTGTGTGTGTGTGTGGAAGTGTCTGTGTGGAAGTGTGCGACAGAGAGTGAGACAGCAGGGGTCTTTTTAAAGTTGGCCTGGCAACAAACAGTTGCATGCCTGTATGTGTCAGGGTGTTTATGAAGACACTTGCTTTAAAACGTGTCTGTGTCTGTGTGTGTGTGTGTGTGTGTGTGTGTTTATGACGTATATGTGTCTGCTTGTGCTGCACCGGTATTCTACAGTGCACGCTTTTGATTTTCCATGTGTGTGTGCGTGCGTATGGAGCTTGAACATGTTCCTGATCACATGAATGTGAAGTGTGCGTAGAGAAGTGGGAGCCTGTCTATGGTTTTTATTTTTACATCCACACATGGACCCCTGACACCACGATGAGAGCGTGTGTGTGTGTGTGTGTGTGTGTGTGTGTGTGTGTGTGCGCTCGCCGAGATCACATGCCTGTGAGCCTGGTGCACACCTCAACTGGTTTCAGATACTTTTTTCTCTCCTTGTCGTGGTGACAGAGAGTCTGTTGTAGTCACATCTTGATCCAATAATAAAGCAATGATGCACACTTTAGCACGCAGGGAAATGTATTTTGAGCTGTTGTAATGGATGTATTCATAGAAAATACTTCCAAAAGTATGTGAGCAATGCTAAGACACAAGACATGGATGTATTTGTGTCTGTGTTTTAATATTATCAACAGAAAAAGCCAAGTGTGTCGTTCTTAAAACCATTCTTTATTGTCCTTTTAAGTGGTTTGGGGGTTGGCTGTCCATGCACAATACGCAACAAACTAGTACAAACATTTAATATCAGTTAATGCACCACAAAGCATTTGTTCATGTGTCATTCAATGGATTATTTCCATTGTCCGCATTTTCTGACATTTCCTAACAGTAAATAAAAGTTGTTAGCTGTTGTGACAACAGGTTAGCTGTAATGCTTGACAGGTCAAGAATGATGAGAGACACAAAGAGACAATGGAGAGCGAAAGACGAGGCGGATGATTGCTGACTTGGCTATTTCCCTACATTTGCTTAAGCAATCTCTTTCTTTAGAAACAAAGCAGTGTAATGGACGGCGGCTTTGCATACGTGGGGATTGGAAATCACAAACGGCCAGTTTATTTTGGACCGGGATGGATGGATGCATGAATGGAGGGGCGTGGTGATGGAGAGGCGGAGGTCTTCGAAGCATCGAAGGGGACTGTTGAAGGGGGAGAAAAGGGTGTCGTTGAAAGAAATATCATGAGCTTAATGCTCTGTATGTGGTTTGAAAATACATATATGAATCCATATATTCATCGTAAGGTTTCTTCCAATCTGTGTTAATTATGCCTGACTTAATAAAACTAGCCAGTCATTAATATTTATAGCATTACCAAGGTGACTCATTATATAAAGCTGACCTGAAAGTCAAATCTCTCACCATCATGAATATTACAATAAGATGCATATATCCGATCATACACAATCAAATTTCCCCTCCCTCTTCTCCAGACATCTCGGCAGGATGTCAGTGAGGGGCTTGGACCCCACCTGTCCCGCCATTATAAAGCGTGAGCCCTCCAGCCCCAGCTCTCAGGGGGACGTCAGCCCGGCCCAGCCCAGCCCTGGAAGCACCTCATCGGACACAAACTCCAGCTACGGGGCCCTGGTCAAAGGCCACCACAATCACAGCAATGGACTGGACTCCCTGGGCCTCTATGGTCACACGGCGGGGTTGGCCAACAATGCAGGAGTGAATAGGTTGGTGTATGCAATGCGTTGTCCCCTTTATTTTGTGCGTTTCAATGGAAGTACTGTTACTATCTGAGCACGTTCCTCTTAATGTGTGCCCTTACCCTCCTCCCCTCCTCTCTTTCTCTCCACCTCTATCCAGGATGTTTGTGGAGGGAGAAAGCCAAGTGAAGTGTGAATTCATGCTGGGCTCGGTGGCCAAGCGTGTGTGTCTGGTGTGCGGCGACGTTGCCTCGGGCTACCACTATGGTGTGGCCTCCTGTGAAGCCTGCAAGGCCTTCTTCAAGAGGACCATCCAGGGTAAGTATACAGAGACAACACACACACACACAGACAAACGCATGTTCAGTTTTATACTTAGTAACAGAGTTTTGTGTGCATTGCTGATAATGCCTTCCTGCATCATATAAACCTGTTTTGATAGCAACATGGTGCAGATGCAGTCATTTGTTTTGGTATAAACAAAACCCGATCAGTTAGCTGACAGCCTCCGCCCCCTGCCTCAAACTGCAGAAAATAAAGACCTGTTTGCAAACAGCTGATACGCGGTTAAACTTTCAGTGCATCGTGTATACAGTCAACATGTTTGAGTTCAGGTTTTAAAGCCTCAGATAACATTATGGTGATGAATGTGTGCACATTGGCTTCGCCCCTAAAAGTCGAGAGGCAGCGGCATGCGGTGTGGCATGCAGTGTGGGTGTTTTAAAAGGATTGTCTTGTGCTCTGTGGGCTCGCCGCCCAGGTCGAGGACCCAGCAGGCTGTGATGCGTTTAGGCCTCTAGAGGTTGGCGACTGACGATGGGTTCAAAAGGCAAACAGGATGAATGGCTGTCAGATCAACCAAGGAGATCTGATGTCTGGCTCGTCAGATACTTCCTGTTTCTAATCGAGGGTGGCAGCTGAGAGCGCCTACAACTGGCCAAACGCCATCGGGGTTAACGCACATTACTCCCAATTAGGTGTAGACAACGTGCTTTTGTATGTGATTGCACTGAGGGACTGAATGAGCATTTTGTTTTTATGTTTGAAAACAGTTGTATAATGTCCTCTGTAGCTTGGAGGGAGCTTTGTCAAGTCAGAGAAAAATAATCCTGATGACGTCATAGTGTCATAGTGCCGTCATCGGGGTCATCTCAGTGTCTGCATGAGATTACGCGTTTATTAACAGAAAGCCTGAGGCATAAAAACTGGAGGTGTAGAGTTAAAAAGGTGTGAGTATTTACCAAGCAGGGACAGTTTAATGAAAGACTCTTTCCAGCTGCATTATGGGAAGGATCCTGTGTGTTCGATGCATGACCCACACCAGGAAGTAAAAGTCAGGATATCCCTGCATCTACTGCTTCAATAATGACCATACTTTTTAAAATATGTCTCTCCCCAACTTTATGGGAGTACGATATTAAATCATTGGAGTTCCCCTTCAAGATGTTGTGCTGTGACACATTTTAGTGACATCTACCTTTTGACTGAATCAGAGTGAAGTGAAGACATGAACAATACGGTTGAATTATTGCTTCAATGCAACTTGTTTTTATTTATCTTCTTCTCTTCTCCTCCAGGTAACATCGACTACAGCTGCCCAGCGTCCAATGAATGTGAAATCACCAAGAGAAGGAGGAAATCTTGCCAGGCCTGTCGATTCGTGAAATGTCTGTCTGTGGGCATGTTGAGAGAAGGTCAGCGCTACACCAAAAACCACTTTTAGACCTGGGTCAAAACATTGTTTGAGTTAGCTTTTTCTGGGATTGATCGGTTGGTAGTCTTGGCAGCAGTTCTAACATTCTCCTTTGGACAGCTGAGTGAAGGCTAACACAAGTCTGCGTTGTCCGTCAATATCTATGTTGAGCATTCCTGGAAACAACACCCTGATTACCAGCTGAGATTCACTATATACGTCTCACCTGATAAACTGGCAGCAGCATGTACAGTAGTTCTGTAGACTCCAGTGAAACCTAAAACCTTTGACAGTTAAACTTCAGACATTTCGTGCCAGGTGTGATGTGCGTGTAGGTCTTTGCGTTGTAAACACAAGGCTGAACAATGCATAAGCGTGTTTTTGACATGGAGGAGAGGGCTACTAACTGTTCGATTGTGTCTTTGCCTCGCCAGTGTTCCTCAGAAATCACTTCTGGAAATTTGTGTGTGTGTGTGTGTGTGTGTGTGTGTGTGTGTGTGTGCTGCAATGCAGCGAGTCATTGCTAGGAACTACAAAAATAGAAATGTAGGAACTTTTAAATTAAATGCTTGAGATACATTTTGACAAGGAAATGTAATGAGAGTGGGACAATTAACCTAACATAACCAGTTTATTGCTTTGTGCTTGCCAATGTTTTAATACAATTTATTTCAGAATCTGAATTATGGACACAGTGGTGCCCTACTAAACCGTATTAATACCCATGCATATCCTGCCTTTCTCTGTTTTATGTAAACTGGATATCTTTGGGTTTTGGATCGACTTTGAGAAACTGGGACGGACAGTTTTCCCTATTTTCTAATATTTTATAATTAATCAAGAAAATAATCGGCCAGATTAATTAATAATGAAATTTGTCGTTAGTTGCACCCATAATGTTGCAGAAGGTCGTTACATTTGGTCAAAGATATGGACCGACGGTGGTGACATGTATACATACCACACAGAGAATCTGTGACAGCAATCAGGTGCTCCGTTAGTCTGACTGTGTGCCTGTCTGGTGACATATTGCTGTCCAGATTTAGAAGTGACTCAAAAAGGAAAACATTAGCAACCTCCTACTGTACCGGCCACTTGCTGCACGCTGTGTGGGGCCTGCAGATGATAATCAAGACGGGAGAACACGTGCGTTTGTGTGTGTGGTGGCTACAATTTTAGGACCAAGGGATAGTAAATCTTATTCATTGAACAGTTATTAAAGAGGAAAATGCTTGCTTACAACTTGCTAAAATGGTCAGTTAGCAGACAATAAGTTCATTCAAAAAACGTATTTGTACCCTCGACCCCTTTTGTGAAGCAGCTTCTGACAGAGGAGGTTAAGTTAAATTAGATTGCACAACACAGCAAGCTATAGGGCGGGGCAATCTATTGATTTTGTATCGAGATCGCTATATGAGACGATTTGATTTCGATGCAATATTTTAGCATTTTAAATGATGGTATGTTCAGGCCTTCATACAAAGCTGCATGTTAGCCAAACATATTTGGAAGACAAAATGAAAGTCAACCGTTACATTTTAACCTAAACTGTCGTAAACATTCTAGACCAACCTAGAGCTATAGTGCACACACACAGTTTCATTACCATCATTTTGGGTGCACTCACTTTTATTTGTACCTCCAAATAAAGTGAGAACGTGTCTCAATTGTTGACTTCTTTACAACCTGCGTGATCGACTGATCACTGACTTTTTTCCTTTTTTGCGCTGTCGGACTTTGTGGTGCTGATGTCGCCATATTCCCCGATCTCAGCAATTACTATCCCACGTATATTCTTATCACAACCAATAGAAATGGGGGCTAAAACTATGAAAATACGATCCCAGTTGTAATAAACTTGAATGATCCTTTAATCCCACCTACTCATCTCCAAACACACAGCAGCATCTGTTTATTGCAGCCGTGTTCCTAAATGTGTGTTTGTGAGTTATGGACACACAGAGTTATTGCATATTGACACGTGTATCAGTTTGTGTATATGAGTTTGTTTAAACACATGTCAGCCTGCACTCACATTTATGCGCACACCTCTGTGTGTTTTTGTGAGTGACTGTGTGTCCGCAATTTTTCTAAATTAGCCGCTTTTAATAGGGTAGGGGCATCAACAGCATCCCAGTCCGTCTCTCAACCCCCCCTCTCTCCTCTCGCCACCCCCTTTTGCTTTCCCTCCCCCCTCGTAAATTCCTCCAGATGCCTCGTGGGATTCCTGGACCTCCGTGAAATGCGAACTGCCCCTCGTAACTCCTGTCGTAAGCGCCCTCATAACGCGCTTCATCGTGTCTCGTAATGCCCCTCTTCCCCGGAGAGGCCGCAGTAAAGGCCGAGACAGAGGAGCTGTGAGGTTTAATGGGTAGAGTCAGAGCCGTATTAAATACACGGCTAAAAGACATATAGACCCCGGGACGTGATTTGATTAAGCCCTGTTTAGTGCTCAATGCCACAGTTTGCTGTCGCTTCTAAGGGCAGTAAAAACGTGTGAGGATGTGAGGATCCAGACACCCTCGGAAGACGGCCGAGTGATGAAAGCTGCAAAAAATAGATCAATGTCTAAGTAGTCCGTGTTTATCGAACAGGGAGGAGGTTTGTGTGTCTGTTATCCACCAAAGCTATTCTTGGCCTTTTTGTTGTCGGCACATTCCACTGTGAAGAGTTACACTTAGCCTTGATGTGTGTGTGTGTTTGAATAACTGTCAGACCTGAGCGCCAACACGCACACAAATAGACCCGTATAAAACACACTTTTCCAACATATTAGGTGACCAAAGTAGTTTGAGTTAATCCAGTGTTTGCTAGCAGTTTGTGTTTGATCTGTTTGTGTTTGGGGCGACTGTGGCTAAGTGGAGAGCAGGGCTGTCCTTCAATTAGAGGATCGGCGGTTCGAACCCCGGCTCCGCTAGTCGCACGTCGATGTGTCCTTGAGCAAGACACTCAATCCCAAAAGTTCTCCCGTCGCTGTGCCTATGGTGTATAGATACAATCTGACTTGTAAGTCGCTTTGGATAAAAGAGTCTGCTAAACGACTGCAATGTAATGTAATCTGATTCACAAGGAAGCGCCTTCATCTCACACCTCGGAGTGCCACCTGCCGAGTGCTCAAGATAATCCACACTTACTGTTTGCCCCCCCCCCCCCATGACATGGAGGTGTTGAGTTTGCCTGACCAATGTCTTCTTTATTTCGCCGCTCATCTTCTCGCGTACAAGCTCTTCACTTTTTCCTCTTAGCCCCGAAACTGCAAACTCACGTTTCACCTATTTTACCATCATTGGACCAAAAGTATGACGTAGGTCTCGACTATATGATCTCAAATCTATGTGATGATAAATTGTCACATTTATCTTGATTACAATAAGTGTAAGATCATTTTAAAACAACAGAGCATTACATTTCTTGTCTTGGGCTGGCTTACAATTTATGTTCTCTGGATTAATAATTAATATTAAATATTCTGGACTGGACTTTGATTCAAATATTGATTGACTGGATTGGTGCAGCGAAATACGTCATATCACTTCTCTTCAATTGAGCCACTTCAAACCAGTAAGAAGAGCTGAGAGGAAAAACTCCAACACAGAAATCCCTTATGTGAAATACTTTTGCATAAAATGCTTAACTCATGTAGGATAAATAGGCTTACATACAGCACTGTAAAGGTACATGCGTCTATCTGTCAAAATTGTCTTTAAATGTGTAAGTAAACATACAACATCTGAGCATAATATTTGATAGTAGTCTTGTGGAAGAGCCTGCTGGCTTATAGAAAAGGTCACGGATCATATTTTCACTCCATCGCTCTATTAGTGGCCCCCTCTTCCCATCTCACCCATCTCTGTTCATGGTGCATTAACTAATACAGCAGAAATTCTATAAAATTGTTGTTATTGTAATGGCTTAACAATAAAATGACACAAAGTGCCTTTTCAAACCAATGATGCAAAAAACGAAGAACCCTTTCAACCCTACAAGATATGTCACAAGCGTGATTAAAAGAACATTATGTTATTTAATGTGGATGTTCATGCATGCGCTCCATAAATATCTGCACAAGTAAGAATATGTACAGGAGGCAGCGGGCTCAAAGAGATGAGGTGTCTCTGTGAGGTGTCAAGTGGGCGAATAATACCCTCAGAGTGCCATTATAGATCTATTCAGGGTCACTATGGCCTCTGTGTGGATCAGGAAACCCAACACCACTACTGAAGGCTCCCTGAGTCACGTTCACACTCGCTGGACACATTTTCTTCAGAGATACACCTGGTGACTGTTACTCTCAGTGCTAGGTGTTACTCCCCGTACACACACACACACACACACACACACACACTCTTAAATCCCCATCACCGTGGTGACGAGGCTACCACAATGCTCGTTAAGATCAGCAGTTGTCATCGGCTGCTCTGAAATTCTTGGGTGTCGTGTTTCAGGGCGCATGCTGCATGTGCAAGCATTAGACACGTCACGTTCATGTCTCATTGGGCTCGTTGAGACACGGGAGCAGATGATTGGGCGACATCCTGATAATTGACCGGGTTCAATACGAAGTATTTCCTCTGATAACTGATTATCTGTTTGAACTGTAGTCAGTGTTTGGAGTCACTTTGCTAATGAAAATATGATGACTTAATCTGATTACTTTTGCTTTTAGTTTCCACAGAATTTCTAAACAATTATTAATTATTTTTATACTTTTTTATAAAGGATTTTACCCGATGTGATCTCATTATCAAGATGCCTTTTAAAATCATTAAATCAAATACCTGAAATAATAATAATAAATTGTGCGTGTGAGTGACTTCACCCTGTGATTTAAGGACAACCCGGCACGTATATTTAGTCTGATGCCAAATGCATCATTAATATTCTTGTGTTTATGTTTATGCTTGTGTAGGTGTGCGTTTGGACCGGGTCCGAGGTGGCAGACAGAAGTACAAGAGGAGAATAGACGCTGAGAACAGCCCGTATCTGCACCCACAGAATGCCTTGCCTCAGAAAAAAACATGTAAGTGTCCACGCAAAAGAATTGCAAGGTGCATAATGAACACGACTGAAGTTGTTAAGCGGTCAGTCTGTGTTAATGGATTCCTTTATTCACATCACGCTCTCTGTGATGTTGTCTGTTGTAACACTGAATCATTTTTATAGCTTGTATTTGCTAATGAGTTGGCATGAATCAATGCCAACTGTAGTTTTGGAATTGAGACGTGGGACGCATTGAATGGATGAATGTCTCTTCAAAACTTCAAAAAACTTTTTGTTTTACATAATGCCATGGAATTCTTTGATAATCCTGTGAGGTTTCAAATGGTTTATTTAGCTTAAGAGGATGTTTTCTCAACCCATAAAGGTACAATGCATCCCTTTCGATTCAAAATCACCAAATTTGGAGATACATTGTTTTCACTGGACGGCGACAAAAACATTTCATGGAATTTTTTTGGTCTGTGATTGTTTCCAAAGCTCTTTGTTTGCATGTTCTTTTGTGTAACTGGCTATATCAGCTGGTTGTATAATGATTAAATAAAGGTGTTTATGATGATAACAATCTGATTTTACTCTCTCCGTCTCTCTCTCAGTCTTTGTTGGCGGTGTGGTGGAAAACAAAGTGGTGTCCCTGTTGCTGGTGGCCGAGCCAGAGGGCATCTTCGCCATGCCGGACCCCACTGTACCTGAGAGCGACATCAAGGCTCTGACCACACTGTGTGACCTGGCTGACAGGGAGCTGGTGGTCAACATCGGCTGGGCCAAACACATCCCAGGTACGATCAGTCAGCCAATCAGGCAGGCAGTCAATCAGGCAGTTGTTCACTCACACACTCCACTGCACGCATTAACCCACATTAAGTCTGTAATCTGATCAGAGTAGGAGATTGTTGTGACTTGTGGTGGCCAAGATGCCCAGAGGAGAGAGGGCATGCTGGCGTGGCTGTGTGTTATCTGTCATCCTCTATGTGTAGGTGTGTGTGTGTGTGTGTGTGTGTGCGTGCGCGCCATGCCCTTGCTGACCGTTTGTTCCTAATATATCATCAGATGAACAGTGGCCACCTGGAAGTTTTAATTCATTTCCTGGGCCGCCTCTGAATTACAGAAATCCTCCTGACACTTGGAACACACTTAACTTCTCCTCTGACACAGGAACAGCAGAAGGGATGTCCAAATTCTTTTCCATTGGATGGAAGGGTGGAAAGGAGAGGGGAAGTGCATTCTGACAGCTTAGTGGGATTAAAACGCTGCAGCTATGTTGGCGGTTGTAATCGTATGCGGTGGCAACAGAGGTTTGCAGGTCTGCTTCTGATACTTGGCTTTGGAGACCTTTACTGCACTCTCAATGGTAAAGCAGCACTTGCACTTTAGTCAGAAGCACGTTCACATGTGTGTTTTGGGCCAAAAAAATGAATTTCTTCTCTGCCATTACAATCTTACAAAGCACAAGTTGATGTCTTACTTTTAATCGACCAACAGTCCAAAAACCCAATATTATTCAGTTTGCAATTTATGATTGTAAATTGAATACATTTGACTTTTGGACTGTAAGTTTGACAAAACAAGCAACTTGAAGATGTCACCCGCAGGCTTAGGCGAGTTGTGATGGGCATTTTCATTAGTCTTTGTCATTTGTCAAAGTGGTGGTCTACCAGTGGATGGGTCATTACAAACTTAATTAATTTAAAATCCTAGCGCAGACCACAAAGTTTCAACCAGCAATATGTTAATCAATAATTAAATTAATCATCATTCTCCAGCAATAACCATTAGTCCTTTTTCTCTCTAACTGAAGCTGTGACTGCTTTATCAGCCGTGGTTATCCACACACATAACATCACCGGGCTTTGTTGATGTCCTATCTCTGAAATGCTTACAACACAAACAAAGCAGGTGTGTGTGTGCTTGTATCTCTGCTATATTTGTCCCCGTATTTCTTTCTTAAGAAGTGGACATGAAGCAACCATAAGAGTGTGTGTTGGTGTTTGGTGTCCCCCCCCGCCCCCCCCACGGCTGTTGCTGTCTGCCTCTTTTCTCCCGTTGACGGTGCTTTACTTTCAGAGCACGAGACACACGGAGTCCGACTGATGGGTGTATTTGTAGCCCTCTGCCAGTGGAGGGTTTGGCTCAGAGAGCGCCCATACACACAGCAGATACCCACCTGAGGGGGCGGAGAGACAGAGAGCCATGTAGTCATCCGACTGTCAAGCTGTTTTTACTTTAAGTTATGAAATGTCACTAAAAACAACATAAAATGCAACAGAAGGTGCACTTCCATCGGGCCAGTGGAGGCGAATAAATAGGCTCAGGGATCATCCATTCACATCCATTTCAAAGAAAGACGAGAGGATTTTTAACGACCTGTCCATAGCAGGCAGGTTGTTACTGTTCATTAGTGTCAGTTAATTGCTGAGAGTTAGATGAGAGGATCAATACCACGCTCATGCCTGTACAATAGATGTGAAGCTGGAGCCAGCAGCCGGTTAGCTTAGCTTAGCATACAGACTGGACACAAGGGGAAACCGCTAATATAAATATACAATAAGCTGTTTAACATGTTTGTTTGTTCGTTGCTGGACTGCAGCAAATATTTCAATAAGTTACTGCTTTAGAGGGGCTGGTAGGCAGATTTTGTGACCTGCCGACAGAGCGAGGCGATCCGTTTCCCCTTGTTTCCAGTCTTTATGCTAAGCTAGGCTAACTGGCTGCTGACGGTATCTTCGTATTCAACGGACAGACATGAGTGTGGTATCAATCTTCTCATCTAAGTCTTGACAAGAAAGCAAATCTGCATACATATATGTACAGATTTGTGGAAATCAATTGGCAATTAAGTCCGGTATCAGTTATAAATATCAACAACATAACATTCACAGGTTTACAAATACTGGAATTAGCTTTCCTCTATTTGAAATCATTATAAAATGTATTTTTGGTTGCTTGTCAGACTAAATTGAATACATTATTTTGTACTCGGATAACATGATGAGCATTTTCTTCTTCTTTTCTACTTGAGAAATTATATAGAAATATGAATCAAAGAAGGATTTCATTTGGTCGGAGAAAAAAACTACACAGAGGCAGTACAAAAATACACACAACAGAGAATACCAAAACATCTGTATGTTCTTCTTGTAGCGTCGTGCTCCTTTTCTTGACTTAAATATAATAGCATGTATCTGTGCTGAGAATAAAATGTGAGTTTGAGCCTTACAGACAATTATTCATTAGAATAAATTAATCGTTTTTTTGGGCAAACAAAATGACACTGTTGCCTGAAAGCACTGTTCTTCCAGTGACAGGGAATTTTAGCTTTTTCAATTTAACAGAAAGAGACAGAGGCAGGGATGCAGACAAAGGATATGGCAGATAAAGACAAAAAGGATGAAGGGAAAAGATAATAATGGCAAAAATGAGTGACAGCAGACGTAATGAAAGGAAGCGACAATGGCATCATTCAAGGAGCAGGTTTAGGAGGTAAAAGAGACCACGACAGCTCAACTAACGGGGGGACAAAGAAAGAAAGAAACATAGAGGAGACTAACACACACACTGAGAGAATGGATATTAGAAAGAAAAGACTGCCCCCTTCTAGCAGCGTAATGGCCATGTCACATCAGCTCTGGATGAGTGGCAGGCCACAAGGCCCCCATCGCTGGGAGAACTAGGGTCCTGGGCGAAGTGGCCTGGGCCATCTGAGTTCTTTGCCCGGGGGAGGTGAGTGCGATGGGGCAACTGTCCTGGCTGCTCCCCCCCTCTTCTGTGTCCGCTTTTATCAGGCAGATTGACGGTGATGTGGTCTGAAGTCTGAGGGCCAGACTGGCAGATGAGCTGGCTAAAGACCAACTGCCCTCTTTGCTTTTGGCCCTTTTTGAGTCCGTGCTGCGAGTTGGCTGTCAAGTATGCGTGCGTTAAAGACGGCTGTGGTGTTACTGGCTGCGTGTTGCTGTTGATATGATACAATTAACACTGGCAAGAGAATTCCCCCCAAATGTCAGCACTCCCCAGCACCCTCAGTGTCCTTCACTCTGTCCCTTTAAAACACGCGCATTTCTCTTTATTGAAGGTTTAACTTGTATTTGCCCTGAAAATATATCAATATATTATCCGAAATTTCATCAAACGGGGCTAAACACACACTCTCAAACAGGTCTCTGTCCCTGATCAACGCCACTCATGTCCCCGTGGTGATTGTAAAGAGCAGTGGATCCTGACAACAATCACCGATGGTGTCAAAAACACAAACGTCTCCCCCTCCTCCCCTCGTTCTGAAAAATCATCTGTTTTAATTACAGTAAACATGTGTGTGAGTGTGTGTATGCGGGTTTATGCGGGGGACGTGACCAGGTTTAATCATGCTCCTGTGGGGTGTAATTGTCAATCAAAGTGGGTGTGTCCCACAGAGTGTAATTCAATTCACCCCCTATTCACTCCCTCTGTCCTTTGTCATGCCCTTTGCAATGTGGTCTTCTTATGAGGGAATCTGTATCATCAATGATATTATTATATTGAATACAAATGATTATGATTATTATCATGATTGTTATTAATGTGGGAAACTGTGAGAAATGACACAAACAGAATTAGAAATAGCAAGTTGAGGGAATTTGGACACAATACAATAAATAATTTAACCAAATTATTGAAAAGGGTTCTTCAGCAATTTAGTATTGCCATTTTATAAAGTTGGGGGACTTGCTGGGGACAGATTAAAAGAATAATTTGTGCAGCAGAGGATGAAATACCCTTTGTCGCTAGTATGGGTCAGTCTGCTTGATTACCACAATGCAACCAAATAGCATCTTTTATTAGACCAGGTGTGTTCAGTGTTTTGGAAAAACATTGAATCAATTGTACCTGGTCCATTTTTGATCCTCTCGTCCCTCTAGGCTTCCCCTCCCTCTCTCTGGCCGACCAGATGAGTCTACTGCAGAGCGGCTGGATGGAGATTTTGATTCTTAGAGTGGTGTTCCGCTCGCTGGCCTTGGAGGACAAGCTGGTGTACGCCGAGGACTACATCATGGACGAGGAGCAGTCGAAGCTGGCCGGGCTGCTCGACCTCAACAACGCCATCCTGCAGCTGGTGAAGAAGTATAAAACTATGGGGCTGGAGAAGGAGGAGTTTGTGGTCCTCAAGGCTATCGCGCTCGCTAATTCAGGTATTAGATCAATCCTAATCCTTTTGTTGACTTTTCTTCTAGCGCCACCAGCAGGTCAAAATTTTAATTTGTCCCATATTGTAATTTGGTTTATGTCAAAATCACTTTCACACTAATTGCATTCCCATTTGTGCAATTAATTTGAATTATCGAATCAGCTTTTTTGAAATGCTGCTTTTAATTTGTAAAAAAAAAGTTTATCGCATTTCATTTCTTCCTCCCAACCTGAATTCCTCAATTTCATTTTCCTTACAGACTCCATGCAAATTGAGGACTCAGAGGCAGTTCAGAGACTCCAGGATGTCCTTCACGGGGCCCTCCAGGACCATGAGGCCACCCACCGCCCCGAGGACCCTCGGCGGGCCGGCAAGCTGATCATGACCCTCCCTCTCCTCCGTCAGACGGCTTCTCGTGCCGTCCAGCACTTCTGCAGCATCAAACAGGACGGCCGCGTGCCCATGCACAAACTGTTCCTCGAACTGCTGGAGGCCAAGGCCTGACCCGAACACAGACGGCCATCAGCTTTTGTCCGGACCCCCGATGCAGGGGGTCAGGATGACAGGAAGTGAAGGATAACGGGTAATGGTGAGGTTTGACACCATGTATTTGTCCATTTCAGCTTTGACAAAAAAAAAAAAAGAAGTTTGAAATCTCCCGGGAAGTGTGTTCCAGCAGATGGAGCATTTTTAGAGCAACATCTTTTCCTTCTCCCAACAACAGTTTGAGCGGAGCCGTCGAATTTGCATTTAGTGTCTTGACGACGAGGACATTGTCATCTTTACTGTTTGACACTAATTTAAGCTCGTTGACCTGCTTTGAACGGTCGAAGGCGGCTGGACAGACAGACAGACAAGACGTCATTAAAGCAGAATAAAGCGCCTTCTCGAGATATTTACAGTAACATGCCAAAAGTAGAGCTTCTTCTGTCAAAAGACCACCTGATACTTGAATATCCTCATGGATTATTTCATCCGTCTTGAAACCTGTTAATCTGCATTCTAGTGCATTTAGAGAGCCTTTTAATGATTTCATTTCGTTTGTCCTTTTTGTATAGAAAAAGTAAATGGGTCCTAAGAGGAAAGTCTTGCCAAAGAGTAAAGACTCGAACTATGAATACCAGCATATGTCCACAATAATATAATGTGGCCTGTAAGTCATTCACGTAAACCTGCATCCCTGTATGCCCTGTATGGCATAACGTATCTATCTATCCACTACATTCATATATAAATAATCAAAGGGAAGCTATTAAGTGATCAGCATCTCACAAAACAATAACCGGCCTCCTGATTTTAGTTGCAAATTTCAGGGAAAGAGTACTTAATGATACATTATACAATTGTACGACAGCAAAGTGATATTTATTCAAAAGTGGCTCTGTTCGTTTGCTGTTTTTTATTTACTAATGTGGCATTAATGAAGAGTAGATTCAAACAATTACAGTGGATAATCATTTTTTTAAAGATTTTTAAATGATATCTTAGTAAGATCATTTTTACTAGCTTCTCTGCTACAGCACTGATGTGTACCATATCATGAAATTCGAGGCAACATGATCATAATTGGAGTGCGTACTTAAAGATCATAATGTTGTAGAGCTATTGTAGACCCGTAGGTATAACTTTATGTAAAATGGCTGCCATACTGTATAATCTGGATTAGGGAGGCATTTGATGTCCTTTCTATGGTAGAATGTCTGTGTAGGATGAAATTTGTGCACTACTTTTTCCTTTTAGCCATAAAGTTTGGGGGAACTGGTGATGGCGCTCTGTTAATCTGTTAGCGTGTTTTGTGTGAAGAGTAGTTATATCTGAAAATTGTCTTTTTTTCTGCACCCGATAAATGAAGGGATTAAACTCGAAAGGAAGCTCAGTACGATGAGTAAAAGTCTTTCTCCTTACTTTACTCAAGGTACTGTGACGCTATATAATGTGCATATTTTTGTGACAAGATGAAGGCAGCAATATGCCGGTTTAAATGTATGTACTGTATTTTGCTGTATATACGTCATGTCTTATGCCAACAGAGATGTTTAAGGATGCAAATAAGCTTTGTTTGGATGAGCCGTGCCGTGTTATTTCATTCTCAGGTGGATTCTTGGGCAATAAAGATGATCCCCTTAATGCAAAGCTCATATCATCTGAGTGTCATCTTTCTCAATAAAGAGGAGAACGCTTGTGAAACAAATTCATTAAGAGCTGGTAAGTGAGCACAGTCTATTCTGCACTGTTTGACAATGGACTGTCAGTTCCAAGTTAGCACATTTATTGCACATTTAGGCCATCAGATCCCAGTTGGATGGAGATTTATAATTAACAGCTATAATGTAATGAAGTCTAACAGTGGCTCTGGGGAGTGCTGGTCATCAGATGCCTGTTGATGGAAGCAGAGGTGGGCCGACTCATCGCATCATCATACAATCAATACAATTTATACCTTAAAATTAAAAAGTAATATTTGGGTCATGCTTTTGATTCAAACAACCCTATTTAGTATTTATAAGCAGTATATATAACACTTGATAAATGGTTTGAAACACACGATAATGTAGTTGTGAGCAGATACAAGGATATTATTTGCTTCACGTATTTCGTTGCATACATTTTTGTCAACAAAATAGAGCAAGACTGCTCATCAACATATGTGTGAACATGTATGACTCCTCCTGTAGAATCCTGTAACTGTGTCATTTTATAGAATGATATATTATTCACAAGCAGGTTTAAAACTGTTTAAATACATGCATGGTCAAAACTCAAAACACTGAGTTGAAAGGTTCGTTCTTGACGTTGAAAAAACATGCGGTGCACTTCATATGAAGGTTATGTATGTATTATAAGCACATTCATAAGATGTGATGCGCTTATAATAATGGTATAATTCTCTAAACACGTTAGTTTTGTTTGCTCGTTGTTATATATATTTTTAGATCAATTTCTTTAACAAAAGTTGCATGAAAGCATTGCAGAATTAGCAAGCCAGCTAAGTAGTCATCTGTCCGCTAGTTAGCTCTCTAATTCCACCATGCTTTCATGCTACGTTGGTGACAGCCGGCCATTCTTTCATCTTTCTATTACTTTAGCCTAGAATCAATCGCTCTAATAATTTAACCTGCAGCAGCCGTGACAGCAGTGGAGGTTAGCAAAAGCCTACGCTAAACTGTTAGCATTTACTCTTTATCTCTGAAGCTTTTCGATATTGTAGCTCACTAGAGCCTAGAATCACAGTTTACCATTTGAAATGTATGCATTACTGATTCTGTCACCAAACAACAAAGAAAGAGGACATTTTCAATATGTAACTTTGGCCGACTACACTGAGGTGATTTGTGTTTGCCTCCAGTCTTTCCTCTGTTTTGCCTCCATCTAACACTGTGATGTATTCATGACATCTGCTGTAAAAGTGTCCCTAAAACTCTTTATAGCTGTTTATTTATTTACATGACAACTTGGTGACAAGTGGTGGGCATGATGTATACGAGTACAGCATTCATAATGCTTTACCTCCATGCCAAAGTGACATTTTTAATTAAATGCTATACCATCATTTTGTTATGAATTTTTTGACGACATACTATACCATACATTTTTGACAGACAATACTATGACTTATTTAAGACATTTTTCGTCGTACTGTACTATGAATTCTTTTGACATACTAAGAAAAATACTTTATTTCTTTTGACTTTTTTTGACTTTTTTCAACTCACTATAATATGAGCTTTTCTAACTTTTTCAACATACATTCTTTGACTTTTTTCGAGATACTATAGTTTGACTTATTTTGCCTTCTTTCAACATTCTACACATTTTTCCAAATACGTTACAATTTTTTTTACTATTTATTTTTTTAACTTTTCATGATTTTTTTTTGGATGTTTTTTTCAACATACTATACTTGCTCAATTTATTGCACTCTGGGATGTTGCTGCTTACTTGTTCCACATTTCCACTGCAGGGTATATGGCACGTGGACTCGAGACAGAAAAAACATCTCAAGTCCACGGGCTTTTATGAGCCACCGAGAAAGTTGGGGAATATCTTATCTAGTTACGTTAAAATCTGTTCGGCAATTGTCAATACGAAACAATTAATACATGTAAATTGCTTCACATAGTACCTTTAAAACGGAGCATGTGTTCCAATAAAATGAAGTGTTGCAATAAAATGTAGTGTGCCAGTATTTCTTAGGGCTATGTTTTAGGCCGTCACTACTCATTTTAAAAATGTAATTGGAAAAATATAGTGATGATGAGCAACGCCCTGCCTTTGGTAGACTGTTGATTAAACAAGCATTTATTTTGTAGGATTACATGCTTTTTGATTGAGTTTACAGTCAATAAAGGAACGATCAACTGGAGAAACGTGCATGCTTTCAGTCACGTTCAGTCACAATTGGTTCCGTAACGTGAAGCATTCGATATTGTTCGTATATACAAAGAGAGAGGAGAGGAGAGGAGACAATGCCAGCAAAACCTGAAGAATAAAGATGGCTGAATAGATAGAAAGACAAATCAAAAATCTAAATGAATTTGTCCTTTATTCCCACCTTATCTGTCAGCAGAAGCTTAATAATCTCCTTATTTTCCTGTGGTTAAAACTCAAGGAGTGCACCAAGGGATTTCGAACAGGCCGGAGATGTTTCAGCACATCAGCCGTCAGTAAGTGAGTTAGTGATCTTGAGTGATATATCCCTGTATGTCCCTCTCCTTAAATGAGTTAGTATGTGTCTAGCAGCCGTGTCGCCCAGACACCTTAGTGATGGATGAGGCCCTGAGGAGATGGGCTGTAAAAAAAGGCTGATTCTGGCACTCAAGGGTGAGATCACTTCCTCAATAAAAAAGCATTGTCCCGAATCATCACGGCAAGGTATGAATGCTGATTAGGGTATTAGACTGAGGAGAGCTCTTCTGTAAAAATAAATCAAATGAACAGTTAGTTAATGTGGGGCCCACCTCTCATACGCAGTGGTTATGTCTGGAGCTGGGGACCGATGGCTACACATTCAAAGAAACTCTTAAATTATCACTTTGTTTTGGTCAAATTATTGTGCAGCAACATTGCGTTCAGTTATTAAGTTGCCCTTGTTGTGCTGCAGGAAATACGTCTTAACACGGAGCCAACCCTGCTGGGTTTCACAAAAACAAAAAATGAAATGTCCTTGCTGAGCCCACGTTTTTAAGGAGCAGTCGTCGTTGAAAAGAAAATCGTGCAATGGATTATATTTATTATGATTTCCTAGCTCACTCAGGTGTGTTTTTGTTCTGATTAACAGCTTTTGTCTCAGAGAGATGTGACTATCCAAAAGTAATTAAAACAATTTGACTTCTAAGGGTCTTTGGAACTTTTCATGAATGACATTCACCGGATCATGAGTCTTGAAAATTTGTCATAAAACTGAAATAAAATATAAATCGGAGTATAAGTTGCATGTTACACCTGATGATTTCAAACTCTTTTACATTTACCACTAGTCTCTGTCTCCTTCTGGAGTTCTTCTACAAACTTACAGAATTCCGATCATTAAGATCTCCTCCAGACGTCTTTTAAGACCTTAAAAGTTTTCTGCTTCTTTGCTTATTGCACATACATTATTATGCACAGTGACGGTCAAACATCCAAACGAAGTGACATAATGTCAGGAGGCTCCATTGTGCAGTACAACATAGACATCATCAATTTTTGAGGTAGAAGAAGAAAAAAAAAAACAACAAGACCACAAATCATCCCAGGATGCCTCCCCTCAGTTGCTCACACGTTTAAAAGTTTGATGTCGTCCTGAGGCACTGCCATGAACGCCCTGACAAACTGTTACTAAGGCTGCTGCTGTACCTCTTGCCTGCCACTCTCAATCATTCCCCCACAGCAGATGGACAACAAGTACATGCACGGTTAGAGGTCACTTTATGACGACGCAGAGAAAAGGGACTTTTAGCACATCGGGGCCTTCAGGTTAACTGTGCTGCATTGTCCTGATGGGGAGGACAAAAGGGGCGTTTAGTTGATTTCTGAGCATGCATGCACGAGTGCAACTGCAATAACAGCTGGGACTGAGGATAAGAGGCTATGCAGCTGCACTTGCTGAAGGAGTTTCTTCTCTGCTGCTGTTGCCTCTTTAATACTGGACACACGGGAGCTGCTGCTTAGCGCCGTCATGTGGTTATACCGCTCATTGCAAGGAACACCATGCACTGCTCATTCTGGTCAAAACTCTCATTTCAAATCTCACTCATAACTTTTTAGACATTCACGGTAAACACAATGATGTAACTTCAAAAGGCATACAGCAAACTAAATAGAACACTGATCACGAGTGACTTCTAAAGACATTCCATAAAAACATGATTATAGTGTAGAAACGAGATGTTTTATCTGTTTGGTCATTACATATGGCTTCAGACACCTGGTGGTGTGCAATAACATGTCCAACAGCACACATAAAAACTAGCCAAGCTAATACACATAGCTGCATTATCATTAAGAGAGAATGTCACACTACTGGGAATATGTTAAGTACCTTTATATTCTTTATTACATGACATTATGTCATAGTACAAGTGAAAATAACACATATGTTGCCATAAGAAACGACGTCCAAACAGTGCACCTGAGAATGAGAGGGGTGATATGGTGACTACCATGCCTCTTCAGGTGAACTGACACCTGACACCTGGCCGTTACCATGGCACTGCTGAAAAAAGCAAAGGTTGAACACGCATGCAGTGTGTCCGAGGCTCATTTTAGCACCGACGCTGTGCTTCGACCTTGTGTGCGCTCGAGGGAACCGTTAAGCCTCGGGGCCGGAGACAAGACATGGGGACGTTTTCCTGAAGCTTTTCCTCATCCGTGTGCTGCCGAGGAGTCAGCAAGTAAAAGTATCATGGTGTAAAATATTGATGGGGCGACAGGTGTGATCCTTAACACCCAGCAGGTCTTTGCCTTTCTGATCGATGTGTCTCACAGCGAGGGGCTGCCAGCACCCCCGCCGCAGGCCGAACCACGGACCTCAGTACTGGTGAGTCTCTGGATGGACACTTTTTATCCATAAACCCATCCAGGGTCCAAACACACGCTTATTTTCTTCCCCCTTAGGGTCAGTTTGAAAACAAGATTTTCTAAACCTCCTGTATGTGTCTCCCACATCCTGGAACATGTTAGAAAATAAATAACAGCATTCCCATATTCATGTTTACAGCATCGTGTTGCCTTTAGGGCCTACTGAAATACTGTGTGATGTACTCATATATATAACGACATATTTAAGACGGCAGAAGTCCAGAGGAATTGATTAAAAGTGTCCGATTAAGGAGTGTGGTGCTCGGGCTAGAGGCCATGAGAACAAGTTTGTCTCCTGTTACTGTGTTATCTCTTCTACAGCACGTGTGATCGTCTTTCTATCTCACAGAGAGTTGACTTGTGATGTATTCCCATCAAATAAAACCCAACAGAAGTCTGAATAAATCCATTTAGATAATGAATAATGAATAGATGGGTCTAAGCCATTTTTTTATTATATGACAGTATACAGATTATCTTACTTATTTCTACATATGTTGTGTGACTAAACTTCAGTTAGTGATCATTCTTCTGGAGGATAGAGGAGTGTAAAATACAGAAAAAGGATGTTGCTGTAAGGAGGTTATTTTGGATGTCGGAAATGTAATCGAACAAAATGATAATTACAATCAAACCTCAGATTCAAAACGCCGGCCTTCCCTCCAGATTCACCGAGCCTCACTCCTCCTGCAGGAGGAGGAGGAGGTGGAGGTGAGCGGGCGGAGGGAGGTCAGGGAGACCAGCCGCTCGTCCGGGAGCTGTGGTTCATCGTAGTGATGGCAGCCATCGCCCTGCTGCTGCTCGCCATCGTGTTAGGTGTCACGCTCCATAAGGTGAGAGAGGTATTTCACATTATACGGTGTGTCGAGGGTGAGGGCCAGGAAAGGACTGACCTCACCAGCACAGGTCAGTATCCATCTTTCCCTTTCATGATCCCGCACCAGGCCCTGAACAAACCCCCCTTCACCAGGGAGAGACCCCCGCTGGTGGCCTTGCCCATGAGGAAGAGGAACCCCATGGCTATTTATCCAACCGGCAACTCTGTTTTGGTGAGAGGACATTCATTTACCAATCCCTGTTCACTTCATCAAGAAGAGGCCCGTTTAGTGGCAACACTCGGCCTGGTCACAGCAGAGAAAGCACACCTGTAACTAATTACAGTGAGCCAGAACACACAGTGAACACACAGTACTATGGCCCTTCAACTGGACCACCGAAATGGAATGCAGCCATCGTTAATGCTTTTAATTCCTCATGTGAAGATGTCAAATATCTGTTCATGTGAAAAAATACCTATTCTGCAGACTATGACACACTTTAAACTATAAAGAATGCTCTTTTTGTATTTATTTAGTTGAAATATAAATATTTTGTATTAAAATAGATATTTCTTTCCATCTTTAGTGACTTTTTCTTTATGTTTTTTCTATTTTTTATTAATTCTGTTAAATTTGTGATGTGTAATACACTGTGGCCAGTTTGCCAGTAAGTCGAAAGCACATTGATTATATTTTGTGAAGAAAATTAGCAATCAAAGAGTAATTTAATTTGAACAAACAAAACAGTCTACAAACTATAACTTATGTCCTTGTGAGAAGTGTCCCGGGCACAAATATAATGCCATAATAAGAGTGAGACAGAAGTGACCTATAGAGTGTAAATACGTCTCACCCACTCTCCTTTTCAGTTTGACACGGGGCCCGACACAACCGCCTTCTCCAACAGTGTAACACTTAAGGGTTTCACCATGAAGATAGAGGTAAAAAAAAAACACTGCCTCAACAAAACATGCACTCACATATATTTTAAAAATGCACACAGTCATGGCGTGAATATCTATCTCTCTCTCTCTCTCTGCTCCCCCCAGCAGGAAGTGCTGGAAGCTAAATGTGAGCCCATCGATGAGGTCCCACCACAAGATGAGCTGGAGATCCTCAGTGTGAACTCCCTGAGGCGCAGCGTCAGCCAAATGATGGACGGGAAGTCCGTCACGGGAGACGATGAAGTGTGGGACCCAAACATTTCCGGCCACGACAGTGGAATGGTGAGAGGCTCCAACGACACTACAGAGACCAACCGTTTAATCCCTGGCATTTTCTGCTGGTCTTGCACACATTTCCACAAACATACCAATAAAGGGAAAACACGGGGAAACAAGTAGACATGGACACTCATCACACGGATGCAGAAAGACCAAACTTAAACAAGCCAAAACAGAAATCAGGCCTTCACTGTTGTCTAACAAGCTCTGTCCTCCCTTTCAGTTTATGGACGATGAGGAGTTTGTTGACACCGTCAAAGGTTTCAGCACGGTGAGGAAGGAGCACACCATGTTCACCGACACCAACCTGTGACCAGAGGATGACCTCTGAACCTGACAGGACGCCGGCGCTCGATGTTTAAACTTTTTGACACTGCGAGGCCACTCGCTCCCATGAGATCCACCTGCTTTCCTCTGACAGCAGAGGTGAAGTTTCTTCTCTCTCACGATGATAAACGAACGTAACTCGATCACTGGAGTAACTTGCACCGTCTGTCTGGTGAGTCCACGAACAATTTAATCAATCTGGTGGATGCAGCTGTCTTGATTGAGCATTGGATTGCTGAGCAATTAAAACACGCTTTGATATCAATATACAGTATCTGACGCAACACACGTGTCCCTCTGAGTCCCGTACGGGATTCTATTAAAGATGTAGTGGAGTAACGTCTACCTGAGCAGAGAATAAAGTCACATCTGTGCTTCGTTAGTCCCGACCGACGCAGTCACGGAGGCGTAGCACCAACCCTCTGGTTCCCCTTCAGGTAAACACGGTTTGCTCTGTCAGCACTGTTAGCTGCAAGCCGCCGGCTCAGGAGACGCCATGTTGAGAAGCAATAGAACTGCTCCTATCTCATATAAAGCACATTTAGGTTAAACACTGAGAGGCATTCATGAAAAGTAAACATACCAGAGAATTGATTTCACTTTTTCAGGTTGTCTTCAGGTATGGGAGACTTTTAACTGGTTATAACACATTTTATGAATGCAAATAATTTCATGTGTCAACGTCACTGCAGTGACAACCATGCATCTCCAAATGTGTTTCTTTTAGAAGAATTTTAGTTTTCAAGAGAAAATCTCTAAATTATAACCATTAAAAAAATGAAATGTTTGTGAAATTGTCACAAAGATAAAAACATTTCTTAGCTCATGAAAGGTTTATGTTTAGGAGATACATTCTGTACCCAATGAAAACCACGTATCTAATAAAATTGCAATAATTTTATACGTTTCACAATTCTCTCTCACACACACACACACACACACACACACACACACACACACACACACACATACACACACAAACACACACACACACACACACACACACACACACACACACAATTCTTCACATATTAATTTATTTGAAATGAGTTGCAATGCATTGTGGGCATAAACACTTGTACCATTACAGTCAATAATATGGTTACAAAACATGACATTTACATAATAAATTAATATACTGCAGTACCACATGAGAGGAACATAAAACCCCAAACTGGGGAATCATATTGCATTAAAAACATAACGAGTCGGTTTAATGTACAAAATTTCCAGGCATTTAGAAAGGCAGCCTCTTTTTCTGTTGCTTGTTTTGTTGTACATATATAAATATAAATCTCTAAATTGCAGTTACACTGATATGTCTGATAACTAGAGACCAGAGGAGGGGTTCTGCCGTTTCAAATATAAAACTAAAAAGACCTTTTTTAGCTTTTGTAAAAGGAGGATCAACAGAGGGATGTTGTCCCTCAACGGCTCATGTGTTTCACTGCCACCAGCCTTCTGGTGCTTAACTTTGCCCTTTTTTGTTTTCTTCCCAACAGTTTAAATGAAATGCTTTTGAGTTTCCTGCATTCCACTGCAACATGCACATGTCCCTTTAGTGTGATGTTAATGTCTGTAAACAAAAACAAATGAATGCTGGATTGTGAACATTTGCAGAAGGTGGCAACAGTAGAAACAACAGATACATATAAATAGTTAAATATAGCACTACACGCTTTTCTCTTCTTTTTTTACAAAAGAAGTCAATGGAACCCTCAAATTTAAGCAACCGTTTGTGCAATCTTCCCCAACGTCCGTTAACTTTATCACGCCCCTTCGTCATCTTCCTACAGCCTTTTCTTCTGGCCACATGCACGAGACACATGCTTATAATATTTAACCAGAAAAAGTAAATTCCTTGTTCAACTTCTCCTTTGCCGCTAGATGTTGCAAATGCATCCATCGCCACTAGACCGCTACTCCAAACTGATGCTACTGTGCCGTTTCATTTCTAGCTACACCTACTACTACGAAGCAGAGTCTAGGACCTCTAAGCATTTAACTTAACGACATAACAGACATCTGTAATGCTACCCTGGTTTACCCTGGTCAAGAGGCTTCTACGAGTACCTCCACTGGCTCGTCCAGGTGTTTAGAGAGAAATTTGTGAAAAGATAAAAGTGCAGCGAAGTTGAAGTCCAGCTAATAAAAATAGAAAGACTCGGACGTCCGTACCTTTCAGAACAAGATTTAAACCACCGACACTGATGACCGTACCTGAGAGCTAGACTAGAACTGATCCGACGATGTGCGGTGCACCTGCTGGTGATCTGAACGTTAGTGGACCAACGGACATGCGGTGCTGGATTGGTGGTACGAGGTTTTTAAAGGGGTGCTCCAGTGACATAGTATTGCACTACCCGAGATGTTGGGAGACTTGCATGAGACGCGTCAAACAAAGAGCCGTCAAGTTCGAGGAGATGTTTTTGACTTTTAGTCTCTAGTGTGGGGCAAGCTCCAAAAACACTGGAACCTACAATTGTATTGTTCATCTTTCAAGCTCCATTCCGTGTTTGTATCAAAGGTTTGTAATTTTAAAGTCTCAAATCAGTGGAGAACCCCTTTAAGGTTGTTTAAATGATCATGCTCATGATGACTAATAAGGTAAATAGATGGACGAAGGACAACGATCCTTCACGTTGACACGTTTTGGCACCACTAGCTAAAGCCTCATCTAACACTAATCTAGTGAGACGGTACTCTTAAGTACACTCCTCCACATATTCCACTACTACGTGACCGCATCACTGACAGACTAAAGTGCTACTACAAAACTTCCACAACAGTTAAAGGGTTAACAGTTAGAGAAAACCCACAACTTATAAACAGAAGCTTAACTACACATTTATCAAACCTAACGTTATCTTAACCACAATATTCATCTTAATGAAACGACCGGTTTCAGTCGTTTTCTTCTACCGATGCAAAAATGTTTTACGAGGTATTTTCAGCCTCGCGTAACGACGACTCCTGGGAAGTGATAAAGTTGTTGGGGGTGGCGGTCACTACTTGAGGGCTCAGAGGTCGACGGACAGCATTTGCTAAATTGTGTGTGTTGCAATGTGGTCACAAAATGTGGCTACTGGCAAGTCTCTAATCTCACTAAAAACAACTGCTTCTCCAAAAAAATATGCTTTACATGTTTGTTCATCCAGCTTTTACTTTCTTAAGTTATTTCACTTTTTTTTTCTTCCCTTTTTCAAAAAGTTAAAAGTTCCAAAAACGGTGCAATGTTTGATCGTATACAAAATATTTCATTTTAACATTCAATTTACAGCCAAAACTGAGCGTAAACCCAAACCAACATGCAAAGACGGGTTTGCCCTACGAAATTGGATTTTAAAGTTTTAAAAATCTTTTCAACCCCGAGACGTTATATGTAATCAATCAGCAAATGCCGTTAAAGCGAAGGTTTCCATACGGGGGGATGGAAGAGATGGTCGGGACCTGTTTTCCCCGTCTGAACTACACGGATGCATTAGATTCATAAAACAGAGAGATTGGACTGCATTTCCCTTCCACAGGCCTGCTGGTGAAGCCTGTGGAAGGGAAGTACACCCGACCCGTCTCCATTCAAGAGCCACTGGCTGATCAGGAAGTGACGTGTTCAGAATAATACTGATTACTGGCATCCATACACAAATCATCATGCAGTCAGGATATACAGGGTTGTAGCACTCAGGCATTAAAAAGATAAAACATCACATATGAAAAGAAATATAAAGACCGAGGAGTTATATCTAGAGTTAAAATCTAGAGTAAAAAACAAATTTAAAAAAAATGCTACAAGGAAAGAAAGTCTATGAAAGAAAAAAAGGGAGAAAGGAAGATTTGGATTGTGAATCCATTAACTGGGTTCTTCCAGATTACCAGAACCCTCTTCTGATGGTCCAGCGAATGGTTCTGGAAACAGGAGGCTCGCGTTTGTCTTTACGTCGGACAAAGCACTGTGGAGACAAGAACAGAGCGGGTTATGATCAATGACACTTTGACGACCGCTGTGGCACATGAAGGAGAGGAGCTGTGAATGATGGAAGAGCAACTACCACGGGGGGGAAATGTGGGGTGAGAAAAGAGAGAAAGGAAACCAGGTGAGAAGCAGCTGCTGCTACTACAAGCTCGCGGTAAAAAGGGGAACTGTGTGCATGAGTGTGTTCTTGTGTTTCAGGGTAGTGCAGCCACAAGCACCGCACAGCACGACGGGCACTACAGCGAGGAGCGAGCGGAGGGGGGAAGGCTGCTGCTCCGAAGGGGGGAAGTTAGTGAAACTACGAAGAAAGAGACAGAGAAGAGGGGCGTGTGACGGGGCTCTGGACAGAAGAAGGCTGAAGGTGAAGAATCGGTGTTAATGAGTCAGTGCCTCACAAACCTCAGTTTCCACCGCTCTCATACCAGAGCTACCCAGAGGACAATGCAGCACAGGCGAAAGACAAGGAAGGTACAGGTCAACAGTGAAGGGTGGCAAGAAAAAGCATTGCTCCCCCCTCCCTTTAATCAATGTTTGTGCTGAGCGCTACTGTTCTCTGTGGCATCTGTTTGTTTTTCTACCGTCAGCTTCCCTGAAAACGGAGATTTTGTACTTCCTCTTTCAAGCAAAAGGGGGGACAGGATGTCTGAATGTCACCTGGCTGTGACACACCTCTAAACACAGAGTACGTTTATCACCCCGCTCACTGAAACATACGGGGAAGCATGCAACCTGATTGAGGATGCATGTTTACCTTTGAGGATGTAGTCTGTTAGCAGGGCAGGTACCTTCTCACTGTCATCCCTCATGGCATGGAGGACTATTAAGGAGAGAGTAGCACATATATTTAAAAACATATACATGCATTGAGGCAAAACAAAGAACATTGCTAGTAAAATTCCTGAACAAACAAGCTGCGGAGACGACCACGTCCGATTTTGCCATCATGGTCCAGTTCGTGTGTGTGTGTGTGTGTGTGTGTGTGTGTTTTGGAAGGTGTCGATACACTCACTCTTTGTGAGGATCTGGAGGTCTTCTACCGCTGGGTAGCCAGTTTTCTTCTCGTAAGGGATTACTGTGGTCAGGTACTGAAAACAAGAAGATCATGTAAGACACATGGAAATAATACTGTTACAAGTGTAAGTGGAAGATTGACCCTTCACTAAGTCCCACCCCTCGAACGCAGACGGGCCAATCATAGCGTAGCATCGGCTCTGCTCCACAGACTGTCATGTGATCTTTTCACATTTTCAGGCTGGAAATTCTGGATTTCGTGTAATAATGATACTAAAACGTTACGTTTCTACATAAACACCTGTAATAATAGCAGAGTGCGTTAGCATAGCATTACCTAGCATCAGCACTTCTATACTAGCGAAGGTAAACTGAATGTGTGAATACAGCTTTTGATTTTTAGTAATTATAACAGTAAATAAAGTCCGATCCGGCTTTACAGGAACAGTGTTATTCCTTAATTTCATTGTATATTCAGGGAGTGCATTTAGTTACAGTGTGGGCTTCATGTTGCACTGCAGCTTAGCGAAGGGTCAGTTACAGTAAAAGTCTCTATAATTGCCACATATGTTATCATTGTGTTTTACTTCAATCTTAAAACAAAAATAAAATGTTGTGTAAGCTATGAATGTTGACATATGAACAGATGATAAGCAAGCGCAGGCTTGCGTGTAACTGGTAGTTGGTTTCAACATTTCTGAGACTTAATAAAATAAATGATGAAAGCAATGATTATGCAACAAGGTCCTCTTGGCGTAAAACAAAGAAAGAACAAGATGGAGGAACATTAAAAGCTGCAAAATATAAGAAGTGGTCAAATGAAAGAGATACAATGAGAAGTGAAGGACAGAAATCAAACACAAAGAGAAAACGGAAGAAGTAAATGATCGAACATTCGACACAAAACGGCAGCAGTAGCTGTGGAGAAACACGCCAGTGGTAAAAAACAAAAAAAACAACAAAAAAAAAAAAACCGGACAGAAAATATCTGCAAAGAAAAAACCATGTGAGTGGAAAGAAAGAGCCAGGCCACCTGTTTGTCCCCTCCTGTGTTGCCAAAAGTTTGACGGAGGCCATTCTGAATGACATTGGAGAGTCCCTCCAGAGTGAGGAGCTACAAGGATGGAGAGGAAGGAAGAGAGTAAAGAGATTTCTATATTAAGAGGAACGAAGTAAAAACGTGTGAAAGCAGCTCTCTCCCACGCAAACTGTCACGTCATGCATATCTGCTTCTACTTTGAAGAACTGCGTGGCTGCGTACCCATGCCTCTCTTTCACCGATCGTTAATGTAATCATGCATTCGGGACACATGTTTTTTCGTCTCCCACGCTGCGTCCCCGCATGACTCACCGTGCCCGGTATGTGCGTGCTGGCTGTCCTCTGGCCGTTGGGCCTGGTTGTACTTCGGATCTTCTTCTTTTTCCGCAGCAGCTCGCGGTGCTCCTTCTGTCTGTTCTGCACGTCGATCAACAGCGAGATGAAGCTGTTCTTCACCTGGGTTTGTTTTTGACAAAACTCTTTTTAGGATCAAACAGACATTTACTTTTGAATTTCTTCTTTGTACAGTGCTCCAAAAAGAAATCTATTTTTATCCCCTGTTAAAAATACACAGTGACATTCACGACGTTGAAGCAAATTATATTAAAAAGCGAAGCTGCTGGCGCTCCACTGACCCCTCACACGAGCCTACAGAACGCTGTGAGCCCAGCAGTCTGTTCTCATGACGCAGATGTTCAAATCTAACATTTAAAAGCTTCTTTACAACCAAATACTACTTTGGAATTGTCTGACTGATAATGACTCTAAAGTCGGCAGAAGTGCTGTTCATAATTTGATCTGGTTCTTAGCTTTTCACAAGTTGTTGCCTCGTTGTGGTGACGTTGAGGCGATGCAGTTACGAGGATGAAAATGAAAGATAAGATGAGATAATCCTTTATTAGTACCTCCTTTTCATAGTCCAGTTCATCTCGCAGGGCCAGAGCCTGGATCAGCTCTTCACTGTAGCGGCGAATGGCCGTCTCCACTTCCTCCAAAGTCTCGGTGAGCTCAGACACAGACAGCTGATGCAGCCCTGAGGACGGTGTGGAGATAGATTAGGAAGCAGCAGAGTACGTCCTTGTGTGTGTGTGTGTGTGTTTATGTGAAAGAACAGTAGATCTGATGAGTATTCAGCATGACAGGTTGGTGGTTTGGCAGTTAATGAAATGGAAACGCAACGTTATAATGTTGAATATTCATCAATTCTTCCAATAGCACCATCGGTTAAATGGCACATGGTCAACAAACAACCTTGTATATTTGCTGTTGATTATATAACATGTAGGAAAAACGTAATTGCTGTCTGTTTGCATTTGTAACGTATTACGTAAGAACGTTAGTGTGTGTGTGTGTGTGTGTGTGTGTGTGTAGCAGACAGTGCGACCCATCGCACTTCATTGAGTGATTTAGAGAACTGTCAAATGGAAGTAGAGTGTGAAAAAAAAGCACTGTTGTCTCACATGGGGGTGAGGCGCACAGACAATATGAAAAGCTTTATTCTCTTCTTGTAAATGATGACAACATGGCGGTACTCACGGTCCTCGTAGCTGGAGTTGGAGCCGGAGCGCTTCAGGGCGTGGAGGCCTTGCGACAGCATCGACAGGTCGGACTGGGAGGGACTCTCGTCGTCCTCTGGGTCTGGAGACTCCTGCATCATCTCCTCTATCTCCTCGATCACCTAAACAGCAGCCCCCCCGACAAATACACACACATATGTTCACAGATGTATGGTCCCGCGTTAGATTCTTACATGTTGTGAATTTGTCGTTTATAGGTTAAAGTAAGGGTGTATGTGACTATGTGACGGTGTTTTCTGTGGTAGTTTTATGGACGTAGAGGACAGGATGCAGTCAAACCAAATGTTCGTGTGGCCCTTCAAAACAAGAGTCTGTTGTGAGTCGTTACATTATTAGATGTTTAGAGATACGGTTTCCTGTACCTCGACTGGAATGTCACGAGCAAACAGTGAGCAATAAATTCTTTGTTCCACGTTGCTATTTTGGGTTTACTCTGTTTGTACGTTGTCCCTTTGACAATGATGTTACATCATCATGCAATTATCATAAAAATGGTGTATAAAAGTGCGGGTGTGTATGTGCGCGCATGAGGCTAAAAAAAGAGAAGTGAACATGCTCTCAACATCATGACATGCTAAAAAACATTAACGAACAACAGAATGAACTTCAGGATTATTTTGGGGACTTTTTTGTCTTTATTTGATAGTGCAGCTGAAGAAAGGAAAGGTGGGGGAGGAGGGAGAGAGAGAGAGAGACAGACAGACAGAGAGAGACAGAGACAGAGAGAGAGAGAGAGAGAGAGAGAGAGAGAGAGAGAGAGAGAGAGAGAGAGAGAGAGAGAGAGAGAGAGACAGACAGACAGAGAGAGACAGAGAGAGAGACAGAGACACAGAGAGAGAGAGAGAGAGAGACAGAGACACAGAGAGAGAGACAGAGAGAGAAAGAGAGAGACAGACAGACAGAGAGAGACAGAGAGAGAGACAGAGACACAGACAGAGAGAGACAGACAGACAGAGAGAGACACAGAGAGAGAGACAGAGACAGACAGAGAGAGACAGGGACACAGATAGAGACAGAGACACAGAGAGAGAGAGACAGACAGAGACAGACAGAGAGACAGACAGACAGACAGACAGAGAGAGACAGGGACACAGATAGAGACAGAGACAGACAGAGAGAGACAGAGAGAGACAGACAGACAGAGACAGACAGGGACACAGACAGAGAGAGAGAATGACATACAGCAAAGGGCCGTGGATCGGACTCGAACCCGGGCCTCTGCGGTAAGGACTCGGCCTTAGTAAATTACTTTAAAGTGATTACTTGGCTAAGCTTAGGCTAGTTTGACAAGAAACAGAAGCAGCTTTTTTTCGACAACATGTGCCACTGTGCGTGTTAACAGTTACCTGTTCGGCTGTGTAGAGCGGCTCGTCGCTGATGCAGGAGACGATGATGGAGTGCATATCCATCTGCTCCCTGAGCTCCTCGTCGTCAGAGAGGTCCAGAGACTGGTTATCCAACTTCTGTTGGTTGAGGAAGGAGGGAGGGAGGGGGGAGAGATTTGAGAGGGAGACAAAGAGAGAGATAAAAACGTGGATGAGACAACAAACAGGTGGTTAAGCAGATTGATGGCAGAAGATCAAGCTGCTTACATTTGTGTCTCTTTTTCTGCAAGGTTCAAAGACAGTGGTAGATTATGGGAATGTAGCCTGTGCATTTACTGTGCGCATGACATGTTACACTTAAGGACTCGGTTGTGTCTCCGTCGTACCTCCTGCTCCGTGATGTTGAGGGTGGGCAGGTGTAGGGAGCGAGTGTGCGATGTCTTCCAGTCCACGGCCATCACGTTTCCGTAATTATCGGTCAGAGCGTTCCACACCCTGGAGGAAAGAAAGAGGGGATGGCGCTTACGTTAGGATTGGACAATAACATAATAGCACGCGACACAGAATAAAGGACAGAAGATAAGCGAGAAGTTTTCAACACACAGTAGATGAGACAAACCCTGCTTCCTTCTCTTTTTTTACTGTGACACAACATTACTTGGCGGTGTTGTGTCCGGCTCTCTGCCCACTCCCTCACCACCTCACCGTGTTCCTGCTGTAGCGTCCACGGCAGCTGCCTGAAAAACCACTGACGGACGCAACAACTCCTTCATCGCATTGGAGTTGTTCACAGGTTTGCGGAGAATATCAGATGATTTAGAAACAGTGTCATCATTACACCAACGGACTGTTGAATGTTTGCAACAGTCCGCACGTTGGCGGAGAAGTTATCGCAGCCAATCAGACGGCGGAGGGAGTGTTGCAATTAAATTTCACTGAATTGAAAAGGATATTGCAGCTGTATAAACACTAAATAAAAACTGCCCTTTCGTGTGGTCCCATTTGGAAACAAACAGCTGTAGAGCATTGTGCATGTTTTCAATCACTACGACAGAAAATCGAATCTGTGGAGAATATTAAATTCAAGTGCACACGCGAGTCACTGCGTTTGTGTTCCTGGCCCCGACTGCTGCAAGCAGAGCGAGGATGGATGCTGTGAACCCATGTGTCAGAGTGGCTCTGCATCGTCATAACCTCTCACACACACACACACACACATTTACATAACTTGCATGTTTCCCCCTGAAGTGCTCATGCCCAGCTTGGGGAGTGGGGGGCCTGAGGAGTTGTTCTAAATAGGGCAAAGGCTGGCAGGAAATATTTTTTGGGCCTCAAGCAACGATACTGTGTCGGACACGTGAGTGCATGACCAAATACACGATTAGCTCCAGTTTTACTGGGAGCATTTACATTCAAAAACGAGGCCATTTCAAGGGGCTTTTTTTTTTTTAATGACTTGCTTGAATGTGCTGGTGTGGATGTTATTTTATCTTGTACACATATAATCCACATGCACGACTTTGCTTTAACACAAACACAATTTGAATTCTCCATTCTCACACACACCCCTCCTTGTCATGCCCGTTGTTCGTCTCAGCCATGGTCTTTCTGGAGAACTTGTTAGGCGCCCAGTCACGTCCTGCAAAAGTGCAGTCATCCAGAAGAGACTCTCACTGAGCTTGGCACTGCTCTTTGGGCTTCTACGGGCTGCCGTCCAATTATTCTATTCACTCCTTCCTGTTTCTTTATCTACAACAACCATAGATGCTTCTTTCCCCCGCCTCACCAGCCTTCCCCTCCTAAACAGTCAGAGCACCGTTAACTGCGAGACCGTTACTGTTCTTTGCTGTGACAAGCTCTCCACTACTTTAGTTACGACTGTCAGTGTGTATGTGTGTGCAGCAGAGTTGAGGTTAAGTTACACAAGTCCAATGTCTGAGCTCGTTTGAGTCTAGTCACGAGTCCTCGGTTATCATGTCCAAGTGACGAGACATTTATCTAATATTATGTTAGTTAGCTAGCATGACATTCATACAGCAGCTAGTTCAAATCAACACACAGCTAAAACGACCGATTGACAGAAAAATGACTGCCAACAATTTTGACAAATTGTCAGTTGTTGAATCAAGCAAAAACACCTGAAGTGCTCTTGTTCTAGTTGCAGAAATCTGTAACGACTTTTCATCCCAGTTATCGTTAAGGATATGTAAGCAAAGCTCTCCATCTCAATACAAGATGGTGGTCCTCATCTTACTTAAATGATGGCGTCCCAAACTTAATATTTAAATCGTAGTTCGGGCAGGTATAATATTCAAGCAAAAGCAACACTTTTGGATCGACACGTGCATACATGACCGACTTCACTTTTGGTGGAGATAGGGACGCTTACATACATTGTGTGATTAGATCTAACAGTTTGACGATGTTGCAATGTGCAGAAGGCAAGAGGAGGGTGATTTAAGCAGCCCACACAGCTCTGTAGTCACAGTGACGTCCATACTTTGTGTGGGATCGGTGCGACTGGCAGCTGGGAAGGAATAACATCTTGTCATTTCAATGTGAAGTTTACAACAACTACTGAGAACCTCAGACTGAGATAACAAGGGCTGGTGAGGTGGCAAGAATAGATGCAGACAGTGTAATCAGTAAGGATCGTGTCAATAAAACATGATGTATTGTGTCTGTTTGCAGTAAGAAGGAACAAGCGGGGCTCGTAAACGTTATGGATCAGTGGTTTAATAGCTAACATCAACCAGTATATTATGACATCAAGTACTGGTAACGTGGCAGGAACCCTCCACACCCACACACACACACACACACACACACACACACACACACACACACACACACACACACACACAAACAACATACACACTCTTAATTCATCCCTTTAAGGATCAAACTGTCAAAATATGCTAGCTAGTACTTTTGTATTTGGTATTTATAACACGTTGTTATAATAAGAAAGAAAGTGTAAACATGTACTAACTAGCTGGCAAACTTTGGACCACAGTGATTGCAGTTAAGCTACGAGCCCCCCTACTGTGTAACATTAAGCTTAGCCGAGTGAGGCTAACGCGGCTAAGCTAACATTAGCAAAGAAGATTCAAAGTTAGCGTAAATAAAAATTCGCATAAGTATTCGCACTCACTCGTCGTCCTTCAAGTAGTTGTCCTCTGTGATGGGTCTAACGGGGGCGATGTTTTCCGTCGCCGTGTTGTAGTTTCGGAAACACACCGTCAGCTTCTCGTCGAAGTCCTGGACGAGGTCCTCCATCGATTTGAAGCTGCAGATCTCCCCGGAGAAGCTGTTGTCCAGGTCGGAGAAGTCGTCGAGGCCCGACGACGGAGACGGATCGCCCACGTTAGAGTTCAGCAGGTCCAACTGCTGGTCGGTGGACGTCGTGGACGGTTTGAATTCGTTAAAGTCCTGCCAGTCCTCGTCGAAGTGGGCTAACGGAGCCGCCATGACTGCCGTTGGAGCTCGTCGGTTGACAGCCAGGTAGATCCGACAACGGTGCTCTGTTCTCGGCGTAGACACTGGACTAGACAGAGAGGTTGAGAGAGAGAGAGAGAGAGAGAGAGAGAGAGAGAGAGAGAGGAGTGGGCGGACACCAGTGTGACGTCGGTTTGGACGCCACTCCCCTTTTTCAGATGGAGCAAAACAAACCCACGTCGGCTGGATTTCTATATGGTTTGTTGTGCTGTTTATTTTTAGCCGTGTCGTTGTTAGTCAGGAGGGACTGCACTCTTAACTATATTTATATGTTAGTTCTACTAAAAACAGCGCGTACATTTTGCATCTTTTCAGCAGTAAAATAAAATGCACGGCTGTCGAGTGTCTCATTTTGGAGGTTCATAAATTAAAAATACATGTTTTGCTCCACTTAGATGGAATAAACTGCAGCAGGATTGACTTTTTTGGGGCCTGATTTGCAGCTGTGGAAAGTAACTAAATACATTCAATCAAGTACTGTACATATTCAATATATATATTTAAATATATATAAATAGTATACATTTGAGATGCTTGTACTTTACTTGAGTATTTCCATTAGATGTCACTTTATACCTCTACTCTGCTATATTTCAGAGGGAAATATTGTATTTTTTACTGAACTACATTTATTTGATGCAGTTAGTTATTTTGCCAATTCAGATTATTAAACATTACGATTATCAACAAATGAAATATGATAAACTAATTACAATTAGCCCCACCTTTACCTTTACCAGCTGCATCATTAACGTGATACTTGCATTAATCTTTCAATGACTATAATACAGTAATATAAGATACATTGTCTGAAACTGGCCATCCTGCATAATGAGTACTTAATAGTCTTTTAAATGCAGTACTTTTATTTCTAACTGAGCATTTCTGTACTGTAATATACTTGAAGTATGGTTAATATTTGTCTCAATGTTTGTTGTTGTTGTTGTTTTACTTAGATTTAGCAGTTGACCACCAGGTGGCGCATTGAGTCTCCAGGCCCGCAGTGGTCTATATTGAATAAATAATACATGAAATACATACACATATATATTCCAAAAGATCCATTTTCAAGTTTGAATTTTCCTCAATGACCCTTTTATTTCAAACCACTTTTCATCACAAATATATCAGTCAAGACAAAAAGGGCAGAGACAGCTATGTCTGCAAAGCAATGTTCAAAAAAATGCATTAGATTATTTCACAATTCCATGGTTTTATTATATATTTGGTCTGTATCAAGTCACAGGATTATTTACTTCATTTTTAATATTGAACACTTTGGGTCTCCAAAAATATTCTCACATTTTGTCAGCACCCATGCCATGGACACCCGCTTCCTAAAGTAAAAGGCAAGTTGTCTAAAGAAATGTGTGGCCAACAACATCACTTACTCAAAATAATGCCCCTTTATCGGCAATTGTTCTCATTATTCCTAATGGCATCGAAGATAGCCTTTTACCAGACGGTCTGGCTCCTGAAATTACATTATAAACAACTGAATACAAAGTAGAACTTTGACAGATATTTAACCCACTAGAGACCCTTTGCCACATGCTTTGCCCAAAGCAGTGATTCAGAGCCAACCTGGGTCCACTTCTGTGTTTAAGAGATGGCTTTTCTGGGTTCTGAAAACTACATTCTCTGGGCCTTCGCAATTTATTGTCCCATCAAACCTTTCTTTTTCAAAACCCTGAATGCTTTATTGAAAATATGCATACATGACACTTTTCCTACACAACAATACAAAACAGTACAATCACTTTTGTAAATAACACATTGAACGCAAAGCCACACACGTCACCCCCTTCCCGCCAGATCCCAAGGAACTTAGAGATGCTACAGTAAGCCCTTAATATCCCCCACCCAACCCCCTCCCACCATCACTTCTAAGAGAGAAATAAGACATAGTTGAACCAGAAACAACTCAGACATAAGAAGAGCAGACACAAGGTTGCATACAGACACAGCATTTGCCACCCGCGGGTGAAAGATGGGCTTAACTGAAACTCTTAATGTGTGCGATTCGCCTCAAGTCTTCTGACATAATGTCGGCTGTGGAAGAGGAGTCCATTCTGCAGTCCAGGAGTTGAGATACAGGTTTCCAAAGTGTGAATATCAGACCATGACACACGGAAAACACCAGGGTGCCTCAAGCGATTTGGCTTCAATAAGGGTCGGACCAATCAACAATGGCACACCAAGAGAGAGAGATTTCGGTCAATTACACAGACATGCAATAAAGTAGATTTTCACATGAAGGAAACTCCTTAAAGGCGAGGGATGGATAAGTTCAAACCTGATTTGATTGTAGGTAACACACTTCCTAGAAACTCTTCCCACTGCAATTGGCATGGGTGTTACTGTGCATATTCATTTGTATTAGTAGTATTAGATAAAAATTCAACTGAGTACAAAGAGAGGAACAAAATATATAGAAAATAATAATAGGGGGGTTATAAAGGACTACAAAATAAATGAGGACTCCAAATGTCTGGTTATATTTTAATATGATCATACAGGGATAGAGGTCAACCAAAAATGATATAATGTGAACAAAAAATTTAAGTAACAAAAAAAGTTCAATAAAAACAGACAGAAAAGCACTGATTTTAAACATGTTTTACTGTATATCAGTCTGTAGCAAATAGTCATTACATACCCTGAAAAAGGGAGGAAGAAAGCTTTGAATGGCGCACTGACCACTGAATAACTTGGCTGGAGAGCAAAAGGGAGAGGTGTGTGTGTGTGTGTGTGTGTGTGTGTGTGGGGGGGGGGGGGG